CCCCAGCCCCAGCCCCAGCCCCAGCCCCAGCCCCAGCCCAGGCCGGCATCATGGCAGTGGGAGGCTTTGAGGATCAGGGCATCTATCGCATGTCCCTCAGCAGGGTTGGTCGATGATGAATGTGTTTGGACTTCTGTCTCCGCAGGCTTTGGCTCCAAACCGGCCCCAGAGCATGTGGGGATGGGGATGGCTGGGGTAGGGCAGGAGGGAGTCCCAGCCTGAGGGCATGGCAAGGCTGCTGGCTGCCCTATGGCAGATCATGAGGAAAGAGGTCTGGAAGGGGCAGTGGCCCTGATATAGCGCAGGAATCTCGCGGCTGGTGGCATTACATGCCATGTGACTCCCTTTCCTTCAGCAGTTCCCTTGCCCAGTTACACTGTAAAGCTTCAGATGAGTTTGGGCTGTGTGTGAGGGCCGGAGCTGCCTGCAGCTCCCCTGCCCTTCAGCCCACCCACTGTATCCTGCACACCCCTTGCTGTTCACACTCCTGGGGATTTGGCACTAAGGTGATGCAGGGTACATCCCTGAGCCTGGTTTGCGTGGGCACTCTGGCCATCTTCCCACACTGGGTAACTGCCTTCTGTCTCCCCAAATTCCCCCTGCAGTTTCAAGTGGATGTGGGATTCTCCTTCTCTTCCAGTCCTAGTCTGTTGTGTAGCGTTGCTGCGCGCTGCTCTGCCGCTGCTGCCTTCCAGCCCAGAGGTGGCTGCATTGCAGTGGTGGGTGAGTGACTCCTGCTTTTGTACCTAGCTCTGAAACGCTTTGGGGACCTGCAGGGCACTCTGGAGCTGTGGCTAGGGCATGTCAGGCTGAGGGGCTGGCCGGGGCAAGCCAGGTAGACCCCAGGCTGGTGGTGACCCACTAGCAGGTCCCTTCAGAAGATGTATCTCTCCTCTCTGCTTTCTCCCAGCAGCTGGTGGGGACCACATTACAGGAGTGCAACCCACAGCCCCTGCCATGCCACGTAAGGCTTTTCTTGTCCTGCTCAGCCCAGTAAACTCCCTCAGCCCCACAGGCAGGGTCTGATATGGTTCTCATTGCAGACGCCGGTTGCTGCTTCCGTCCCCTCTCCCTCCTGGGTGAGTACCATGCCCTGGCTACCATGCATGTGTGCCCTGGGGCAAGAGGTAGCTGCAGCTCACGGGCTGTGTCTGCTCTCCTTCCAGGCTGTCACACTGACCTGAAGCAGGAAGGATTTGAGGGGAAGGCTGGTAAGTGTCTGCAGCTCTGAGCAAGTCCTTGTGCTCCGGGGCACAGCTCCTGCCAGTGAGAGGGGCATGGGCTCCCAGAGGCAGTGCCCTCCCAGGGCTCTGTGTCGTAGTCAAGCTAAATTTGGGGCTTGGGTGTCTCCATCACTCTTCTTGTTTCCTCCATGCCAAGGTTCCGTGACAGGTTTTCCTGGTGAGACCTCCCTGGGGATGGGAAGAGGAAACGGAATGCTGCCCCTGGCTGTTGCAGCCACAGGCTCCCATGAGACAGCAGCCACGAGTGAGCAGCCAGCAACAGCTGAAGATGCATCAGACACAAGCCTGCATGGTGGGTGCTCCCTGCAGCTTTCCAACACCCTCACAGAGAGCTCTCAGAGCCATGGTGAGGTGCCATTGACCCCTCTCTCACTGCAGGCTCTGGCGTGGCAGGCTTGCTCCAGAATGTCCAGCAAGTGCTGGTGCAGATCCTGCAGACATCACGGCGGCAGCAGGCACTACTGGAGAGCCTGGCCAGCGACACAGTCTCCCAACTCCACCTCCTTTCCCAAAGCCTCATGCAGGTGGGCGAGACCCTGAACCAACTCTTGCTCCGGCCACAGATCCATCCTGGCCCCATTGGCCACTACGTCCCCCATATGCCCCTTTTTGAGGGTGGCTCTGGAGTGCCCTGCTCCTCTGGTGCTTCCCACACTTCCCTGGATCACAAAGAGGAGCCTCAGCTGTTCCCCGAAGCCAGGTGCATCACCCCATGAGTGCCACTATCACTGGCCACAGGAGCAAGAGCTTTACTACACAGCCACAGCACAGATTTTTATATCACAGGTTCCAGATATTTTCAAAGTTTATACTAGAGAGACACTTAAATAAAATTAAAAATAGCTTTTCTACTAGTGATGGCAGCTGACCAATTCTTTCCCCCTCTCTGGGGAATGTTCCCCTTCTCAGTTTCGAGATGAACATGAGGGGAACTCAGCTATTTACAGACTCCAAGAAACTCTCAACCCACACAGTATGGGGCAGATGTACTTTTTCTACCTTTTACAGCAGCACCTGGGGTGGGCATCACACCTTGTTTTGGGATGTGCTGCTGGGCTGTGGAGCAGAGCAGGGCTGCTGCCAGGAGTGGAGGCCAGGAAGCCCAGGGTGCATCCTTCTCCAAGGGAAGAGGCTGGGGTGGTTGATGCTGTTCTGGGAAAACAGCATGTGCAGCAGCCATTGTCCCTTAGTGTCCAGGTCCTTGGCAGGTTTCTTCCAGGGGACAATCTGGGGCTTTCGAAGCAAGTACTGTGGGCTTGCCAGACACTCTGGTGAGGCCCTCCTGCACCAGGAGGGATCCTCCTGCTTCAGTATGTGGATCATTATCAGGTAACAGGAGCTGCAGATGTGGTGTGGAGTGTTGTGCCTAGAAAAGGAGCCTCTGACTTGCCTGGACCCCACCACCTTCACAAGTTTGTGCACATCCTCCATGGGGATGGGGCAGTGTGCTGTCTACCTCCAGAATCTCCTTGCCACATGCGAGAAGAGGAAGTGTACGTTGCGTAGACATCATGAAAATGGTCCTGCCATGCCAGATGCCACTTGCTGGAGGGCTGGCAGGTGGCTGGCCACTTCTCTCAGAAGAGGAGGGAGACCATGTAGAGACCAGTCAAGCCCAGCCAGGAAGGTAGGCAAGCAGTCCATGTTGAAGCAGTTGTCCATCCCACGTTGAGGATGTCTGGGTGATGGATCCACTGCCTGCATGCCATGCATGGCCTTCAGGGTGAGGGTGCAGTCCATGTCCCTGTAGCTCCCCAACTAGATGTCCTTCAACTCCTGCCCTCCCCACTGCACAATCTGGCCCATTGCCTGCCCTAACATCTTCCAAGAGCTTGCCAGGGCACCCCACGTCTTCCAGGCACACACGCCAGCTGGCTGGAGCACCCCACATGTGGCCATGGAGGGGGACCAGGGGCACAATCACAGGGCCCAACAGCGAGGTGGTGGGGGGACAGCAGGTGTCACAGCAGCAATGAGCAACAACATCACAGCCCAGACATCATCTGGCAGGGGAGAAACATGGGTGGGTAGTGCTGGGAAAGCCTGTGACACCCCACCCCCAGCACTGTCCCTCATCCCATACCAGCTGTACACCCTGGCTTGGAGAGAAAGGCATGCCATAGAGACACGCTGGCCTCGTGATGCAGTGGGCAGGGAGCTGGGGTCTATGGGGGCTGCTGGGAGCAGGGCCAGCCCTGGTGCACAAGATACTCCCACCAGTGCATACAAAATATCCTCTGCGCTCCCAAGCAAGAGCAGAAACCGCCTGGCTGCTGGCCAGCAGCTCTGGCCCCAAGTGATGGGGTCACTTGATTGCCTGCAAACATCTCTGCCCTGGATTTCTCTCCCTGGGACTTATCAGAGTGGACAAAGAGAAGAGAAAGGTGGGATCTCCCTTCCTGAGCCCTGCTGCTTGCACTGGTGAAGTTGCAATGGTTGGGCTGTGGTTGCCCATGCTCCACACTTACCTTGCTGTGCTCCCCATCATTCCACTGATTGCCCTGTCGTGCTCCCAACCAGCCTGCTGTGATCCCCGTCACACCACCTCACTTCCCAACGCCTCGGGGTGCTCCCTGCCATTCTGCCATGCTCCTCACTTGAGCCTGCACCTACTCCTCCCAGCCCCGGGACACCACAGCACCATTCCTTGAGCCCTGGGCTGCTGGGGCAGTGGGACAGGCTGTCTGCTCTCCGTGCAGGCCCCTGGCAGTGAAGGGAGCTCTGAGATGGGAGGGGGCTGGCTGCTGAGGAGGGACTGGGAATGGGGGAGGATGTCCTGGGGGCTGCAGGTCAGGGGTGCATGGGATAGCACGGGGGGTACAAGTGGGACATAGCGATGGGAACCGGGGGTCTGAACGGAGCGTGCAGCGGGGTGCAGTGAGAGGTGCAGGGGGTCACAATGAGGGGCGCAGCGAGGTGGCAGTGAGGAGGGCATTGAAGGGGGCAGTGGGGGGCACAGTGGGGTGCAGGGGCTGCAGTGAAGTGCGGTGAGCGGCACTGAGGGGTGCAGGGGTGCACTGAGGGGTGCAGGGGTGCACTGAGGGCTGCAAAGGGGCTGCAAAGGGGACGCACGATGCCAGCACAGGGACCGCGGGCCCCAGGGCGCAGCTCCCGGCCCCTCCGTGAGTGGCAGCCCAGCGACCAATAGGAACTCAGAAAGGAGAGGGTGGGCGGGTCTGCCCGGGCACGTCACCCAATC